AATTGATAAGTAAGTGCAGAGAAGGCCCAGCTGTCACTGCACATCATGGATTCATCTGATGCCTCATTTGCCCCTTAGTAAGCATTTCCCATTTTAAATGCTTGCACAAAATACTTAAAAAGAAATATGAAGCTGGGATAGGAACTTGGGGGTTGAGAATGCTCTGCCCAGATAATCTTTGGAATAAATTTTAGATATGGTGTGACTGGCATCATTACTGGCAATGTCAACACACATTGGCTTAAAAGTTTCTGTCTCATATTTTGAGGTGGGGAAACAAGTTTACAGACTGGTTAAGCTGACCCCTGCTCTGAAAATTGAGAAAAAAAGCACATATAAGAAATACTCAAAATTTAAAAAAATTTACAATGTTTTTTTCTCTTATTTATTTCTCATGCTGACGTATTTTGACCTATTCTGATGTTCTGCATAGTAGGCAAATTCCTGATGGCTGTGTATGTTAGTCTGTTCTTACACTGCTAATAAAGACCTACCCAAGACTGGAAAATCTCTAAAGAAAAAGAGGTTTAATGCACTCACAGTTTCACATGGCTGGGGAGGCCTCACAATCATAGTGGAAGTTAAAGGGGCAGAGACGCATGTCTTACATAGTGGCAAGCAAGAGGGCCTGTGCAGGGGAACTCCCATTTGCAACACCATCAGCTCTCATGAGACTTATTCATTACCACGAGAACAGTACAGGAAAGACTCACTCCCATGATTCCGTTACCTCCTATTGGTTCCCTCCCATGACACATGGGAATTATGGGAGCTACAATTCAAGATGAGATTTGGGTGGGGACACAGCCAAACCATATCACTGTGGTAGAGAGGTCAGGGGACTCTAGCTCTGCCCCAGATCTGCAGATGAGCTCCCAGCAAGGCACAGCTTCTGGATGTCATGACTTCTCCCTTAAACATTTAAAAAAATTAAACCAATGAAAACATAGAATTTCTCACAAAATGCTGATTTTTTGGCATGTTTTCAATTTTCATATTTTTTAAACCTCAAAAAATGGTTTATACTTTTAATGGTAATATTAAAGTTTCAATACAGAGGTTGGGGTTGCTGGAAGACATGAGTCAATGAAAGCATGGAAAACTGACTTTGTATTTATCCTATCAACAACCTAGTTTGTTAACCAAACGTCACTGAGGCTACTCATTGTCCTTTTACAAACTTCCCTATGATAATTCCTGTAATGCTGGTTCTTTTATGAGTTCTGAAATTATTTCAAAATAGTTATATTGTTGCTTCACTCCTTTCCATGTATTTCTACCCACCAAGAATATTCTGACAAAAAACAAAAAGTGTTTAACAACCAGCTTTCGGGGAAGGGGTGGGAAGCCCTACTATAACATTTATCTGTTTCTGTGGTATAAACATTTCGTCCGTGTGGACACCCAGCTACCAAGGTGACATCACTGACCAAGCTGATGGGGAAGAGTTGTATGCAGTTGGCTCTCTGCCCCGTAGAGCAGGCTCCAGATCACCACTGCGTAGATGAAAAATACAGCTTCTTGTATTAATTTCCCCAAAGGTACATGTATTTCAAGATGTAGTTTTTAAATATCTTGAATGTGGGGCAAACTCAACATTTTGGATGAAAGGCTCTCTTTTTACTGTGAGTAAAAAGTTTTACTCACAGTAAACTTTTACATAGTATAAAGTTTAACTATGATCTTAAACTATCTTTTTATTGTGAGCACTCCTATTTCTATGAGAACTTATACAAAAGAATGAGCCCTAAAGATAGTAGGCAGTCAAGACTTGAGTTCTCATTCATATTTTGCCACAATTAGCTTAGCAGTCAATGAGAAATAGTAACCAGATGTCTAGATTGTTTCTTTCTAGTTTCATCTGTGTATATTGAAATTTTTAAAAATGGCATAACATCTACATATCATAATTAATCTTTTACTCTGCTTTCTAGGATTCTGATGAGTTTATAGGAGAACTGTTAATTGGAGAAATTTTTTAGGATTTGCTTTATTTTGGTTGCAGAAAAAATAAACATTTTGTATGCATCATATGTAAGTTGGTAAGGTTATCTAGGAGTTTGTTTTTATGAATGAAGTATGCACATATAAGCTGTGATTTTTAGTGATTACCTAGAAGCTTAGCTATGATTTCTTTTTCTTTGACATCTACAATAATACTGGATTTTTACTGAGTGGCCACTCTGCTTTCAGCATTTGATGAGGTGCTGTGGAATATTTTGGTTTGTATAAGACATAGAGTTGACCATCAGGAATTTGTGGAACATAAGAGAGTAGAAAGAATTTTTGTTTTTGTAGCATTGTGGTGAATATCAGTTGTTGTATTAGGATTTTTCAGAGAAACAAAACATATATATATATTATATATATAACACATATTATATATATGTTTTCTGTGTGTGTATATACATATATATATTAAATATATATATTATATATATGTATACACACAGATATGCACACAAGTATATGTGAATATAAATATATATATATAAATGTACATGTATATATATAGGTTACATATATAGGCTTATATAGGTTTATATGTTTGTAACCTATATAGGTTTATATAGGAATATGTATAGCTAGAGTACTTGGTATCTCTCTCTCCACACACACACACACACACACACACACACACGTATATATATAGAGAGGTTTATATATTTACATGTGTGTGTATATATGTAGCTAGATATCTGTAGATGAGATTTATTAGGGGGATTAGTTCACATGATTATGGAGGCTGAGAAGTCCCACTTTGGGCCTTCTGCCAGCTGGAGAACCAGGGAAGCTGATAGTGTCACTCAGTCCAAGGCCGAAGGCCGTGGAACCAGGGGAATCTACAGTATAATCTCAGTGCAAGGCCATGGAACCAGGGGAATGTACAGTGTAATCTCAGTCCGAGGCCATGGAGCCAGGGGAATCTACGGTGTAACCTCAGTCCGAGGACATGGAACCCGGGGAATCTATGGTAATCTCAGTCCAGGGCCTTGGAACCAGGGGAATCTACAGTGTAATCTCAGTGCAAGGCCGTGGAACCAGGGGAATCTATGGCGTAATCTCAGTCCAGGGCCGTGGAACCAGGGGAATCTACGGTGTAATCTCAGTCCCAGGCTGCACGCCTGAGAACACTGAAGAGCCTGGAGTTCTGATGTCCAGGGGCAGGAGGAGAGTGTCTCAGCTCCAAAAGTGAGAGAAATGAGCACATTCTCTTTCCTCTGCCTTCTTGTTCTGTCTGGGCCTCAGCTGACTGCCTGGTGCCCTCCCATATGGGTGAAGGTGATCTTCCCCACCTGGTCCATTCAGACCCACACACTAATAGCCACTGGACACACCGTCACAGACACACTCGGAAATAATGCTTTGCCACAGGAGTCCTCATCCCTCCATTCACGGAGTGGTACTGGTCCATGGCCAGTTAGGAACCGGGCCACGTGGCAGGAAGTGAGCATTACCCTCTGAGCCCTGCGGCCCGTCAGATCAGCAGCAGCACTGGATTCTCACAGGAGCACGAATGCTGTCAGTCTGAGGAATTTGAACTGGAGACAATGGGGATAATGGGGACCTTCTGAGCTTGGGATTTCTATGATCAAAATCCGTTTTTAAGGAAGAACAGTCTGATGAGAGTGTGCAGATTTGGTCTGTGTCCCTTCAGGAAACAGTCTCTGCTGCAGTTTATTACAGGCCTGCCATCAACATTGCAGGGCCTGGGATAGGGGTACAGATGGAGACTCACACACTACATGTGTTTTAACATTTAAAACTTATAAACCAAACTATTAATGACTACAACAAAAATTTCTAACATTTGTCCATAATCAGTATTTGTTCATAAAACAAAATAAAAATATATGTAAAAGTATATGTTTTAAGACTGAAGTTGGAAATGTGAAATCATTCAAATTGTGGATTTGATTAGAATAATTTTTTGCTCATATTTACTGTTTTGATCAACAGCTAAATTTTCACAAAATAAACTTATAATGCCCTGTTCTCAAATTTTGTATAGGTCATGAACAGACAGAAGTCTGTTATTTCTTTACTATTTTTAGTTTTATGGAATCTAAACAGGCTGTTCTCTGCATATTATCTGTTGCTATTTCCATTTTTTTCTCTAAGCTGCATTTTTATAATTTCTGTTTCTAGCAAAATACCAATTTTCATCCATTTTTGAGATGCTAAGCAGGTCCTTTGTAGGGAAAGCTTGTAAACCAATCCCCAATCTAAAGGATTAGAAAGGAAAATATAGTTAAATTCATAATAGGAAATTTGAACATTTTACCAATAAAATATAAATTTAGACAAATTAAGAAAAATTAAGGCTATTTTTCTTTTTCTTTTTTTTTTTTTTTTTGAGACGGAGTTTCGCTCTTGTTACCCAGGCTGGAGTGCAATGGCGCGATCTCGGCTCACCACAACCTCCGCCTCCTGAGTTCAGGCAATTCTCCTGCCTCAGCATCCCGAGTAGCTGGGATTACAGGCACGCGCCACCATGCCCAGCTAATTTTTTGTATTTTAGTAGAGACGGGGTTTCACCATGTTGACCAGGTTGGTCTCGATCTCTCGACCTCGTGATCCACCCGCCTCGGCCTCCCAAAGTGCTGGGATTACAGGCTTGAGCCACCGCGCCCGGCAAGGCTATTTTTCAATAGTACTATTTTTCTTTTAAAATACTCAAAATTATTAAAAGGCAAAATTAATGAGTATTCAAAAATCAAAATTATTCTAATAAAATAAAATGTAAAATTTAATTGTTACAAAATTTAATTAAATACTTTTATAAAAATGAATGCATTTCCTAATGCTAGTGTTTAATGTATATCTAGTTTGGTTATAAAGAATCATCATCATACTTTATGAATGCTACACCTGGAGTCCGTGTTATAATTCACTCCTGGTGAATTTAGGCCTACATATATAGAGAGATCGAAGAGTCATCTGAATTGCTTATGTTACAGAATATTACAGAGTCTCCCTCAGCCCCCTTGCCCAGCCGTTGCTAATGCCATGCTAATTAATAACCTGAACAAGCCCCAGCGGGAGCTGGTTTTGGGCTCTCCAAGGGAGGGTGTGGCAGGTGAGTGGGCTGAACCCCGTGCAGCTCGGGTCCTGACTCATCTCTGACGCTGCAGGTGCAGAGCTCGCACCCTCAGGGCTCTTAGGGGCGCTGCCTTTGTTAGGAGGAAAAAGAGCAGAGATGTGGGTCCTGATTCCCTGGGCCTACGCGGGAGAGCAGCTGCCAACTGTGAGCTGGCCCCTGGGACCCAGGCTCTCTCCGCCAGGATACAGCTATTTTTCTGGTGTTTGTTCTCTGTAGGGCCTGACCCGAACCCTGCCTCTCGCAAGAATGTGAGTTAACTCTAATTTTAAATGATTTTTTTCTCTCCATCTGGCTTAGCACCACAGATTGCTATTCTGAGTTTTAATCTGCCATTTGTCCACGGGTGGCATGGATTGTCAATATCAACAATAAATTGAAGGGAGGAGAAGGTGGCCCTGTGCTCTGGTTGAGAATTTTCTCAGAAGGGGCTTGCTGTAGCACTCCACCAGGATTGAATAACAAGAGATGGTCAGTCCTTCCATTCCAGTTCAGCCTTTTTCACCTTAGTGAAGTAATTGCAGACAGCTCTAGAGAGACAGGGCAAGAATATTTGGCTTCCAGAGAAAATAACAGAACAGCTCCCAGTGATTCCCTAAATGGAATTTGGAATTATGACTCTCCCTGGCTCATCGAAGCATTGCTAGCTCTGATTCTGGGCTGCTCTGGCAAGCTGCATGTAATACTTCCATTAATGCTATGTTACATTGCAGCAAGCAAAAAGCCAGAAAGATTTCCTTCGCAAGGGTAAACCAGCCTCTTGTCTTCCTTACTTACAGTCTAGGACCTCACCACAAAATAAAAATAGTTAATCATTCTGGATATTTAGAAATGTCAGATCAGAAAGACAAAGATAGAAATCTAAATTAATGTAAGCATGGGCTGAGCTGCTCTGTGTACATGTCCACTTGAACGGATGGAAAAGACTTTGAAACAATTCATACTCTGACAAAATGCCGGTAGAGGTATAAAGCACGTCATCTGTGTCTGTTTGCTTCTTCCTTCCCCCTCTCTTTTAGGCTTCAATTGTTTCCCGAATTTCTAATATTCAGTGAGGGACTGTATTGAGCTGCTCATTTCATATGAAATGAACTGAGATTTCGTGCTAACAGGGGTTACATTAGTCCAGCTAGAGGCAAAAATCGAATATGCAGAGGTTTGGCTTGTGGTTATGATTTGCATGAGGTCAGAGTGCCATGGGCACCTAAAACTAACAGATCATCCAACAATATCAGTTCTGACCTTTGGACACCCACCAGCCTCTTGTCCCCCAGTTCAAATAGGACAGAGACCTTGGCTTGGTCTTTCTGGAGTCCTTGAGTGTCATTGCTCACAGCTGTGCCTGCAGGGAGATGAGCTTGGGGCTGCAGTGAGGGGAAGGCTGTGGACACGCCACTCCTGAGCTAGCTGTAGTGCAGCAGGGTGGGAAGGAGTGACCTGGAGTCAGAGGACATGGTTTCAGGTCCTGTTCTGTGCCTGGCTGTATGACCTTCATCATCTAGCTTGGAGTCTCTGAGCCTCAGTTTACCTATCTGAAAAACAGGCTGTCTTTTCCCTAAGATTCTTCAACAGATTAGTAAATCTACCTTAGCTAAAGTCCTCGTTGCACTAAACAACCCTCAATATATATGCTAGATATAAAACCACCTTTGCAAAATTGTGATAGAAAGAGCAAGCTGACGTAGTTGACTCCATCTTGCTTCTGACCTGTAAGCTGTCCTTTGGTCGTTCCTGGGTGAAGGCCAAGCTAACTTTGGGAGGAATTTAGTTTCTAGTTTAACCTTAAAGCAAGGATAATAACAGCCCTTCCCCAAACTAAATTGCCTTTGTAAAACTAATAAAAGGCCACAAGGTAAGGATGATGAGAGGCGCCTGAACTCTGCTAAGACGTTGGCATAGTTTCTGTAATCCTTCACTGCTCAAGGGTCATGTGGCCGGAGATCACAAGACTGTGACTTCCCCAGCTGCTCCTGTAGATGACATCACTATAATAGAACCTAAGATCAGTTTTTGGAGCTGTCTTTCAGGCTGATTCCACCTAAACTCGTGATTCATGACTCAGCTGATCCTGCAGCCCCATCCAGAGGTGGAATGAGTGCATAGAGGGGTGCGGACTGCTTTTCATACCCCTGTGATTTCATCTCCAATCCTTCAGCAGCACCCATTCCTTAGCCCCCTGCCCACCAAATTGTCTATAAAAATCCAAGCTTGAGCCTTCAGGGAGACTGATTTGAGTGTCAGCTCAGTTCTCCCACGTGGGTCAGCGTCCTGACAATTCAATTCTTTCTCCACTGCAATGATGCAGTCTCAGGGAATTCCTTTTGTCTATGCAGTGGGCAGGAAGAACCCACTGGGAGATGATAGACCAAGGTGGGAGCTAGGGAGCCTTGCCATTTCCTTAGAAGAAGGCATTGCACAGGGATGAGCAACGCATCCTCAGTGCAAGGGGCAGTGCCCTCGTCTCTTCGGCTCAGGAGGGTCTCCAGATGTCAGTGAGACCCTAGCCCCAGCCAGTGTCCAGGTTCTTGATACCGTCACAAGAAAGCATTCAGGGAAGAGTCAGAATAAGGCGAAAGGCAAGAAGCTTTTCATGCAAAGTGAAGCACACACTTCCAAGTGAAGCATGGCCAGCTGGGGATAGTGAGCCATGCACTCGGGAGATTGGGCTTCTATTTCTATGGGCTCTTCTGATCAGGGAGCAGAATAATTGTGAGGTCTTCTAGGAAACAGGCAGAGATTTCTTAGAATTCAGGTGTCACTGGTTTCCATACTAAATATGGCCATGCTCTGTTCTGTCTTGGTGCTGGAGGATGTGTGATTGAGGATGGTACTGAGCCTGTAATTAGATGTGGGTAGGGCATAGGTCAAACCTGATGCCATGTTGGACTCAGCCCATTTCAGCCGGCTAAGCCCCTTCCTCTTTGTTAGTGTCTCATCAGCCCAGGCTCACCCTTGTCCTGGTAGCTGATTTAACAGCTCTCAGCTCTTGCTGCTGTGAGAAATCGCTGCTTGATATTTTCCCGTGTCTCCTATGACCACCAAACACTCCTGTCGCACACCTATTCTCTCAAAGGATGGCTGGGCAAGTGACCAGGACTGCCAGGCATGCAGCATTCATCCTGGGACAGGGGCTTGACCTGGATCACAGTGAGGTCCCAGCTGGAGAGCCATGGCCAGGCCCCATCCCTGTTCACTGCCACCCAGCTGTGCCTGACAGCCATTTAGGGCCAAGGACAGAATTCCAGGAACTCTATGAGTGTTGAGGAAATGGAGAGGGAAAGTAAAGTGTGATTTAAAAAAATCATTTTGAATTCTAGCATGGTGTTAAAAGGAAAACCCAGCAAAGAATGATTTGTGAATCTGGCAGCCCCCACAAACCAGGACAGGTTCAGAGGGACTCTGGCCTGCCTCATGATGCAAGACTGACGGACAGAAAGAGGACAGTAAGGGAAATACGGAAGTGAGGCCAGAAACAGCTGAATTGGTTACAGCTCAGGGTTTGCCTTATTGGAACACAGTTTCAACAGTCGGCTGCCTAGGATTTGCCAAAACTCAGTGATAGGCATGAGAGTAGGTCACGGTCTGCTTACACGTCCAGCTAGGCGACAGTTCACCAAGTATGGAAAGACCCGTAGTCTGGGTTTAAAATATGTAACGTGGTAGCTTCACTACCTAGCAGTGGCTACACGTGGAAAATGAAAGTCATGGCCCCAAACACGTGGCAGCCTGCTTTCCCCGTCAGTGTGTGTTGATGGATTGGGAGTCTCCCAACACCAGGGCTCGCCCTGCCTGTCCCTGTCGGGTGATGTGGCTTCACTTTGGCCCTTCCTGTGCACAAACTCCCACCGTGTTCAGGTTTACCAGGACCCCTGACTTCTGAAAGGTGGATCGCACTTAGGAGAGGACAGCTTGGCACCAAGTGCTTTGGACTCTGGGGCAGAAGAAACTTCTTTCAGATCTGGCACTTGGCCCCTTCCCACCTGCCTCTGTCCTCCAGGTTGCCTTTTCTGCAGGCCTCCTCCTAGGGTGGCAGAGCCAGGAGTGGGGGTCGGGGGTGTCTGCTGCATGGGCTGACCTGATCAGTGGTTTCTGGGGGCCTGTTCTGTGTTGGTGCCTGGGAGAGAGAGCAGCAGGAATGCAAACCTGCCCAGATGTATTTGTCCTTTGAGATCACATCTGCTGAATTTGCTGTAAGCCAAGTTCATAAAAGGAAAGAAGATGAGGAAGGGCTACTGGATTAACATTCCTTTTTCTATAGGGTATTTCAGAAGAGAAGTCCACTAACATTTGAAAAGTGGTTCAATTTACACATTTTAAATATGTAAAACACCTAGTGACTCAAGTGAGATATACTTATTTAAAAGTGTAAGTACTTTCAAAGAATTTTACATATTAAGATAGCAAGACTTGGCCAGGCATGGAGGCTCATGCCTGTAATCCCAGCACTTTGGGAGGCTGAGGTGGGCAGAAAATCCGAGGTTGGGAGTTTGAGACCATCGTGACCAACATGGAGAAACCACATCTCTACAAAAAAATACAAAATTAGCCGAACGTGGTGGCATATGTCTGTAATCCCAGCTACTCAGGAGGCTGAGGTTCAGTTGCTTGAACCTGGGAGGCAGAGGTTGCAGTGAGCCGAGATCATGCCATTGCACTTCAGCCTGGGCAACAAGAACAAAACTCTCTCAACAACAACAACAAAAAAGCAAGACTCAACTATAAACTTTAAAAATCTGAATTTTATAAAATCAGTAATTTGGCTTCACGGTCTCAACTATTGAAGTTCTTCTGTGTTTAATATTGTGGCTACTTAGCTGAGTAACAGAATATTGAAGAATGGCCCACTGTGTCTAACTTGTGAATTAAAAAGTGCCAGAATATCAGACAAGATTATAACTATATTATCGAGAGTTGGGAATGAATGAGTAGATGTGTTCTTGGTTTGAATGCAGTTGTAAGAATGGGAACGTGAACTCAGTACTTGGTGGGGATCGTGGGTCTGGAGGGTGTTTGCTGGGGCTGTCCTGGAGAACGATATTGCCATTGTGTGAATGTGGGTGTAGTAATACGAGGGTCACTTGGACGTAGCTTTGCTTTCAAGAGATAAACTAGCACCTTCTTGCCTTTTGCCATAATTGTAAGCTGTGCTGCCAGGACTGTGTATCCCTCCTAAGTTGCTGGGCTCATGACCTCAGCCTGCCCGTGCCCCCACATGAAATCTGGCTCTTGAGTCCTTGCTTGATGTGTGACT